AGTTTTGATTGGACATTGGTTAGTTTTGATTGGACATTGGCTAGTTTTGATTGGACATTGGTTAGTTTTGATTGGACATTGGGCAATAAACTCTGGGCAAATTGAATAATTCTCATGTGACACTCTGGGCAAACAGACTTTTGCACACTTATCTTGATAAGTCTGAGAATGTTTTGTTTTGAGAAATCGAGAGCCAAAATGAAGTGAGTTTTTCCTTTAAGCACGCGTAATAATCTGATAAAGGTGTAAGCAAAATAATCTTATGTCAAAAGAGAAAACTGCATTATTTCCCTTCCCCCATTGGCAGATTGCTTGTTTTAAAGAAAAAGACTTGATTTTGACTCTTTATTTCTTAAAACAAGACTAAATGTTTTACTTGTCTAGAAAATGCTTCTTGATTTAAGAATTGTTTAAATATTTGGACAAGAACCATGTCAAGAAATCTAGAAGAAAAGCATTTTTTGCAGTGATCACAGAATATCAATATGCTGTTTGGCTATTAAACATCCTCTCAGCCAACAATAAACTGGCATTATATCACACAGTGCTTTCTCCTTCTACTAAAAAAACCCCGCCATGCACAAAACAGCAGCAAGAAATGGAGTGGGTCTCAAGCTCAATTACTCCACAAAGCCTCTTTCTCTGTGGGGTTTCTTGTTGAAGTCAGCGGGAGATTCTTCGTCTTCTGGCTCCTCACACACACCTTGTTACTCTCGGAGCAGCTGTACGGTGTGTTTCCACTCTAAGTGCTTTTCAGGCCCTTGTCCAAAAGTCTTGAGTGACATGCGCAGAGCGGCGAGGGTTTAATAAGAGCTGGTTTGGCTTTCTGACATCACCATGGCATGAACCTCTCGTGTGTAAGTGAGATGTGGAGATGTGTTTCTCTATGTGTGTGAGTGTGTGCTCATGGCTTCATTTCCCAACGCCACATCCATTCCTCAGAGTATCGGAGTGTTTTCAGTGGGATGAAGCCAAACTGAAGCTCTCCACAAGGGGGATTTCCTCTGAGAGGCTACTGGACAGACTGTCCGACAGGTTAACAAACTGTAGAGTTTTTGTCTTGTTTCTAGTCCAGAAATGTAAATAATCTTAAATCAAGAAGCATTTTCTGGATAAGTAACACATTTAGTCTAGTTTTAATTGGTCATTGAGGTATTTTGGTAAGTCATTGGCTAGTTTTAATTGGTCATTGGCTTGCTTTGATTGGTCATTGGCTAGTTTTGATTGGTCATTGGCTTGCTTTGATTGGTCATTGGGCTAGGTTTGATTGGTCATTGGCTAGTTTTGATTGGTCATTGGCTAGTTTGGATTGGTCATTGGCCTAGGTTTGATTGGTCATTGGGTAGCTTTGATTGGTCATTGGCTAGTTTTGGTTGACCATTTAGCTAGTATTAATTAGTAATCGAGATAGTTTTGGTTGAACATTGGGCTAGCTTTGATTGGTCATTGGGCTAGTTTTAGTTGGACATTGGCTAGTTTTGACTGGTCATTGATTAGTTTTGATTGGTCATTGGCCTATAGGTTTGATTGGTCATTGGCTAGTGTTGATTGAGCATGGCTAGTTTTGATTGGACATTGGCTAGATTTGACTGGTCATTGGCTAGTTTTGATTGGTCATTGGCTAGTTTTGATAAGTTATTGGCTAGTTTTAATTGGTCATTGATTAATTTTGATTGGTCATTGATTAGTTTTGACTGGTCATTGACTATTTTGATTGGACATTGAGATAGTTTTGTTATTATTGGGCCAGTTTTTATTAGTTGTTGGGCCTGTTTTGATTGGATATTTAGGTAGTTTTCTTATTGGGCTAGTTTTGAATGGCAAGTTAGCTAGCTTTCGTTGACCATTTAGTAGTTTTGATTGGTCATTGAGCTAGTTTTGGGTGACCATTGGGCTAGTTTTGATTAGACGTTGGGCTAGCTTTGATAGGCCATTGGCTATTTCTGATTGGTCATTGAGCTAGTATTGATTGGTCATTGGGCTTGAATTGGTTGGCCATTAGGCTAGTTTTGATTGGACATTGACTAGTTTTGATTGGTCATGGCTAATTTTGATTGGACATTGGGCTAGTTTGCATCATACATTGGCTAATTGGCGCAAATGCGTTGTTGATGAGGCCAGAGGTCAGAGGAGAATGGCCAGACTGGTTCCAGCTGATAGAAAGGCAACAGTAACTCAAATAAGCACTCGCTACAACCAAGCTCTGCAGAAGAGCATCTCTGAACACACAACACGGCCAACCTTGAGGCGGATGGGCTACAGCAGCAGAAGAGCACACCGGGTGCCGCTCCTGTCAGCTAAGAACAGGAAACTGAGGCTACAATTCACACAGACTCACCAAAACTGGACAATAGAAGATTGGAGAAATGTTGCCTGCTCTGAAATCAGTTTTTTCTTTCCGTCTTACCTGTCCAGATGAAATGCAGCGATCTCAGCATTGTGTCGCTCAAAGTCAGAGAAGTAGAAGAAGTCTGGTGGCGTCTCCTGTTCTCTGGTTTGTCTAGAGGAAAGAGAGAAACAGGACAGATGTTAGCTAGCGCTCCTAAAAGCTACAGTTTGCACACAAGCATCAGGAGAAATAACTGTTATTCATTCATTTTCCTTCAGCTTAGTCTTTTATTCATCATTCATCATTATTTATTCATTTGCCACAGCAGAATGAACCGCTAACTATTCCGGCATATGTCTTACACAGAAACCCAGTAAACACCCATACACACTCATTCACACACACTCATACACTACGGCCAGAGTAGTTGATCAGTTCCCCTATAGCGCATGTGTTTGGACTGAAACCGGAGCACCCGGAGAAAACCCATGGCAACACGGGGAGAACATGCAAACTTCATGCAGAAACGCCAACTGACCCAGCCGGGACTCAAACCAGCGACCTTCTTGTTTAATAGGCAGGTAATACGCCAGTAGTAAATGGTGTGAATTGGTACTTAAACTCAAGTGTTATATTATATACATTTTATTTATTTTCATGTTTTATATATTTTCAAAAAAAAAATGTATTCCTGATTTCTTTTCTTTATTTTTCTTTATTATTTTTCTATTTATTTTTTATTAAATTATTTTATTTTTATTATATTTATTTTTTATTTTTATTATATTGTATTTTATTTTTATTATTTTATATTTTTTTAGTATATTTATATAATTTTGAGTGTATTTAATTTTGGTACTGATTTTTTAATTTTTATTTAATTTTTGTATTTTTGTATTTATTTTATTTTTTTATTTATTATTTTATTTTTACTGTTTTATTTTTTTTAGCATTTTATTTTTTATTTTTAAATTTTTTATTGTATTTTATTATAAACACTTTTTATTTTATTTTATTCATAGTATGTTATAACAATATCTTTTATTTCTTTCTAGTATTTTATTTTAATTTAATTTACATATTTATTTTTGTTTTTATTAATATTTTCTTATTTATACATTTTTCTTATTTAATTTTTTTTCATTTATTTTATTTTTTATTTTATTTCATTTTAACTATTTATTTTTTATGTTATTTTAGTATTTTATTTTACATTTTTTTATCATTTTAATGTATTTTATTCATTTTTTTTCTTATTCTATTTTATTTTAATTAATTTTATTTTTAGTATGTTATTATAAGAACATATATATTTTATTTTCTAGCATTTTATTAAAATTTAATTTAATTCATATTTAAATATTATATTTATTTTTTATTAGTAGTAATATTTTATTATTTATTTTTTAAATTTATTTTTCACAGTTAGGTCTGTAGTGCAGCTATCCCTACAGCTGGTCTAATTTAACATTAAGTAACACAACATTAGTGGACAATACTTCTGAACACCCTCTGTCTGAATAAGATCTGGTTTAGCGGTGCAGATGGATGTAAAGGACACTTGGGTCATTTCCTGATTGACTCATAGCTTTCTGGGTCAAACGCTTCACCCCTCATTCCCTCTCCAGAGAGTTGGCCTGAATCAGCAGAACATTTAGGCCTCATCTGGCAAATAAAAATCCATTAGTTTCCTTTTGATCCGGGAAATTGAGTGGATTTAAGAGGGGAAAAGGCTCGCTTTGTCCCTCAAATGAAAATATATGAAGTCACACACACACAGAGTCTTTTCCATTAGTGTTTAGATGGAGGGGAAGAGGATATAAGCTGCACTTAGAGTTAATGGCTGCATGAAAATGGGAATTTGGGGACAGAAAGTTAATGCAATCTCTTCTGATATTGAAGTTTGGTGGAGTTTCTTTAAAGAGCAAGAATAATCTCCAGATCTCTTTAATATATTAGTAGGTTTTCCTGGACCACAATGCAAAAATATATTATTCTCATGTCAAGTCCTGTGATCTCACACATTCTCATCTGTGGTTGAACAGATAAAATAAGAGCTCAATTGTTGATCACACTGTGATTTTAAAAAGTATTAAAGTTTTAAAGTCATATTTTCTTATTTTATAAACTTGTAAATGATTCACTGATTCAGATGATCCGTTCAGAGTGAGTCTCCTGTAAATGATTCACTGATTCAGATGATCCGTTCAGAGTGAGTCTCCTGTAAATGATTCACTGGTTCAGATGATCCGTTCAGAGTGAGTCTTCTGTAAATGATTCACTGGTTCGGATGATCCGTTCAGAGTGAGTTTCCTGTAAATGATTCACTGGTTCAGATGATCCGTTCAGAGTGAGTTTCCTGTAAATGATTCACTGGCTCAGATGATCTGTTCAGAGTGAGTCTCCAGTAAATGACTCACTGGTTCAGATGATCCGTTCAGAGTTAGTCTCCTGTAAATGATTAACTGATTCAGATGATCAGTTCAGAGTGAGTCTCCTGTAAATGATTCACTCGTTCAGATGATCCGTTCAGAGTGAGTTTCCTGTAAATGATTCACTGGCTCAGATAATCTGTTTAGATTGAGTCTCCAGTAAATGACTCACTGGTTCAGATGATCTGTTCAGAGTGAGTCTCCAGTAAATGACTCACTGGTTCAGATGATCCGTTCAGAGTGAGTCTCCTGTAAATGACTCACAGGTTCAGATGATTTGTTCAGAGTGAGTCTCCAGTAAATGACTCACTGGTTCAGAGGATCTGTTCAGAATGAGTCTATAGTAAATAATTCACTGGTTTAGATGATCTGTTCAGACTGAGTCTCCATAAATAATTCATGGTTCAGATGATCTGTTTCAGAATAAGGTTTTGATGATACATTAGAACTGAATCTCCAGTAAATGATTCAATCCAATGATCTGTTCAGAGTAAGTCTTCAGTAAATGACTCACTTTAATGATCCTTTCAGTGTGAGCCTACAGGGCAAATTGAGTCTCCAGTAAATGATTCACTTATTGAAATTATCTGTTCAGATTGAATCTCAAGTTAATGATTTACTAGTTCAGATGCTCTATTCAGAGTGAGTTTACAGTAAAATATTAACTTGTTCAGATGATTTGTTCAGACTTAGTGTATAGTAAATGATTCACTGATTCAAATGATCCATTCAAAGGGAGCCTCCAGTTAATGATTCACTGGTTCAAGTGATTCTTTAGGATCGAGTCTCCTGTAAATGATTCACTGGTTCAAATGATCCATTCAGAGTGAGTCTACAGTAAATGATTCAGTGGTTCAGATGACCAGTTCAGAGTGAGTCTACAGTAAATGATTCAGTGGTTCAGATGACCAGTTCAGTGTGAGTCTACAGTAAATGATTCAGTGGTTCAAATGACCAATTCAGAGTGAGTCTTGGTGTCCATATTGTTAACCAATGAGGGCCGGGTTTGAGGACACGCCTCCTTTCTAAAATTATAACTTTTACATTTTCGATTTGGCGTCTTACACATTAACCAAAGAGGATTGGGTTAAGGGGTGGGGTTTGTGGACACACCTTCATTTTTAATTGTATCTTTTTCATTTTCAATTCTGCGTCTTGCTTGTTGCCTAATGAGGGTTGGGTTTAAGGGCACGCCTCCTTTTCAAAATGGTAAGTTTTACTTTTTTGATTTGACGTCTTGATCATCTACCGAAGATGGTTGAGTTTAGGGGTGGGGTTTGGGCCACGCCTACTTTTCATAATTTAACATTTTATGCTTTTGATTTGGTATATTACTTATTAACCAAAGAGTGTTGGGTTTAGGGGTGGGGATTGAGGACACGCCTCTTTTATATAATCGTAATGTTTACATTTTTGATTTTGAATCTTAGTCGTTAACTAAAGAGAGCTGGGTTTAGGGGTGGGATTTGGGGCACGCCTACTTTTTTAAACGTAACTTTTACATTTTTGATCCTGCATCTTGCTTATTCCCCAATGAGGGTTGGGTTTAAGGACACGCCTCCTTTTAAAAGTTTTGTAAGTGACCCCTTTTAGGCTTTGATCCTAATTGTGGCGTTTTGGTGACTGTCGCTTTAAATGCAAATTAAATTATCAGAAGAGGGTGGAGCTACAATACCTATGTGTCAGCATAGTGGCAGATCGAAAAACAGGACTAACGTCATATGCTAATGAGGGAGAGATCGGCACTAATGGGCGGGGCTTTCCCCAGCTTAGTCGGCTTAGTCTCTTTATTATTCCTGGGCCGCCACAGGGGAGTGAACCGCCAATTATCCAGCACGTTTTTACGCAGCGGATGCCCTTCCAGCCGCAACCCATCTCTGGGAAACATCCACACATGCACACACACATACACTACAGACAACTACAGCCTACCTAATTCACCTGTACCGCATGTGTTTGGACTGTGGGGGAAATAGGAGCACCCTGAGGAAACCCAAGCGAACGCAGGCAGAACATGCAAACTCCACACAGAAATACGAACTAAGCCAAGGTTCGAACCAGCGACCCAGTGACCTTCTTGCTGTGAGGCGACAGCACTACCTACTGCGCCCCAAGTCTGATTGACAATTGACAAGGCTGGATATATTCACACACTGCTGACACACAACTGGGTTTAAACTCCGCATAAAAGCGATATATACGCATTAAACCCCTGTCAGGTAAATGTACTTTACATGCAACAAGCAAATGGCAAGACGAATAAGCAAACATATGAGAGCACACCAGGCTTTATATCCCGGCTGAAGGCTTTGCTAAGTGGAGCAGTCAACACATGATAATGCAGATGACAAATCATCACGCTGTAACCACCTGAAGCTGTCACATCTCCACAGCACGCGTCATTTCAGCAGCAATCACTTCAACTTTAATACAAACATAAACGCCGGTCATGTTCCACCACACCGCCAACCAAGTGTGCGCTGTCTGAAAGACGTTCACTTCATATGTAATTACACACACTTCAATGGAAAAGCTGCGATGCATGTGCACGGAAGCAAAAGAAGCTCTAAGAAGAAGAAGAGAAAGACATTTTTGTTTATATATTATTTCTTAAGAGTTTTTCTCTCGTTTCAAATCCAAATATCTAAAAAATTTGCAAATCATGAAGTATTTATAAGACAAGCAACAAATTTACCCTTAATAAAATGGGGACGGTTGGTGAGGTTCCAGATACAGTTC